ACTCTCGCAAAGAACACCTGCACCATCTTCAAGTGATACAATACGGTTTTGACTCTTTCGAGCAGATGCCTTCGCATGGAAAAACCAAGTGTTGCGGTCGCCCGCATGTAACCAGTCAACTCGCGACTTTTGTCTGGCCATGATTTCTTATTTATGTAATAGTTCATTCAGATTTCTGGCAAGCTCTCTCTCCCGCTGTGACGTGCCCCTATAAAGGGAATTCGCACACTCATGCTCGTACTCCCGATGAATCTTCTTAATCCTCTTCTTAATGTCACCAAACTTCCTGTGTTTCCAATCGGTAAGCTCATTTTGCATGTGCACTAGGGCATTATTCAACTCCTGAAGGTCATTCATTGCCCCGGCCGTACTCCAACCTGCCAAAACAGCAGCGTTGTATGATTCTTCTCTCTGCCACGCATCCTCGTACATAAATCCTCGCTGGCCTCTTCCCTACCAAGCATCTGTCATCTTTCTGATTTTCACCTCGACCACACAGTGATCAGATCGGGGAGACCAAACATGTTTGACACTCGACGCATCATATAATTGCATGAACGCCGGGTCTGCCAACATTCTGTCCAAACGAACTTTGACGTTTGTGATACCATGCTGTTTATTATCCCATGTGAATGGGGTACCATGGTAGCCTAGGTCACGGAAATCGCAGAAATCAATCGTTTCCCTAAAGCTCTCCATCTGCCACTCAGCTCGCTCATGACAGCCAAAATACTCCGAATTATCCAGTATTTCATTAAAATCACCCCCACAAAGCCATGGGAGGTCACTTTGCGTTCTAAGCCACCTCAACAATTCCCAACTTTGTGACTGTTCAGAGCGTTTTGCCTTAGCATAAAGGCCAGTAAACCTCCACCTTTGACGGTCACCTCCTACATTTATTACATTTGCATCAATATGCTAATCAGAGACATTATTCACCTCAACATCTACCTCCTTAGACCAAAATAAAGCCAAACCGCCACTTAAGCCGTTACTGCTTACGGGCATACAACCAGCAAACCCTAACCTTGAAGCTATGTCCGCTACTCTCCTTCCGTCGATCTTTGTTTCAGACACAAAGACCAAGGCGGGCGCTTCCAGCCTCACTAAGTTGTGAAGCTCAAGAACTGTCTCCGGGTTCCCAAGCCCGCGACAGTTCCAAGCGAAGCAACTCATTTGTCTTGGCGGGGCTGACTCGCATCCTCCGCCTCTAAGTTGCACTATTGATCTCTTGAGCCTTCTTCTTCTTTGAGTCTCTGCTATCTCTAGAATCACTTGACACGTCCTCTCTGCCATGCCTCTTCTTGTTCAACGTATCCTGATCAACCAACATCAATGTCCCTCCAGAAGTACCCTTTGGATGTGCGTCTTTGCCATCCATGCTGACACGCCTATAAACTCCATGATTTGTCCGACCACGTCCACGGAGAGGAGGTGAACCTCCCACTCCGTTGCTTCCTCCACGTGCATTGAACTGATACACAAACCTGCTGACATTGCCTTTAGTATTTTTGTTTGGTGAGGTAACTTCCTCCCCAGTCTCCACCTCTTCTTCCACGTATTCTCCTTCTTCCTGGGTAGCCCCATAGGACTGTTTTGGGTATCTCGGTGGTGCACTCTCCCAGTTCCTCTTCGGAAACGAGAACCTCAGCGACTCCTTATATGGCAGCCGCCCCTCTACATCTCTCTCTGCGGGACAGGGACAGTATAATTCAGCATGTCCAAGTACACCACAAGAGAAACAGAAATAAGGAAGGTGCTCATACTGAATATCATAGAACATCACCTCCTTAGTTCTAGCTGATTCCAACTGCACCCAACGCATCAGGGGTTCCTTGACCCTGATCCAAATTCTAGCACGTAAGGCATCTCCCCATGCAAACCCCTTCGCATCAGTATCAACCTTGACCACATCCCTAAGCAAATCCGCAATCTTCCACGGCCATGGGGGACAACGAAGGTTATATGGGAGCTTAGTGACCCTAGCCCAAATCTGCATCTGCTCGAACTTCCAATCATCCGGATTCGACCTGAAATCAAATTTCACAAGAACCACCGCATGCTTGCCAACAGTCCATGGACCGCCTTCCCAGATGCGATCTCGATCTCTCTTAGTCTCCAGATTGGCTACAAACATATTTCCCCCCATCGAACTGAAGTACAGCCCTTTAGGGTTCCCCCACGCAGGTCGCATCGCATCAGCAATGGTGTTGACATGTAGCACACGTCGATGCAACACCTTCCCGATGAGCGCAAAGCTTGGCACTTGCGTCTCCTCTTGGTCATCCACAGTCAGCCTCACACTTTCCTTCTCTGTAAGGTTCATCTTCTCCATCATCCTCTCCACTCCTTCATGATCCTTTCCCAGATTGTTGCTTGAACTTGCCATCCCCGCCGAAGCCGCCTAACCCTAGAAATCTACTCTCCTTGCGAGTTCCAAGGACGGGCAGGACCGCTAGGGTCCCCCTTGATGGTCCCGAGAAGCAACAACGAGGGAGGAGCAGAAACCAGGGAAGTTCGGGCGAATCGCGGGTGAATTTTCTTACGATCGCGCCTCAGGAGATGAGATCGCCTGAGCGCCGCCTCATGCCACTCGAAACCCTAAAAACGCTTCGGGGCCTATGCGGCTGGATTTGTATTTGTATTGATCTGCGTAGGACTAGTAGAAAGAGGCCTCACGTCCCTTACCAACGTAACTTTCGTCGCGGGCAATCAGGTCACGTCCCTACTCCACCAGCAACTTTTCTTTTTTTTGCGGATGTCCAGGCAAGTTATTTTATAGAAGAAAAAAACAGAAAACTTATTTGATCGCCACACCGGGGTCAGCATGGAAGTTTTTGTAGTGTCCAAGATTTTTTCATCTTTATGTACTCATTTATTTATAGGTGGAAGAATTTACAAAGCTCCCAAGGGAGCAGTAAGCAACACATGCTTTTCACTTTCAATGAGATTTCAGTAATTTCAGTAGATAGTGAAATATTTACTTTTTGGCCAAAATATTTCTGCAACTTCAATAGTACACACAATTTCAAATCTTTTTAAAATCTTTTTGAAAAATTAGAATAGTTAACTGAATTCAAGTGAATATAAACAAACCGGAATCACTGAAATTCAGTGAATTTCGATGATTTAGGTTGGTGCTGAATATTTTCTGAAGCTGAAGCTGAAAACCATGAGCAACACTCAATTGTATGCATGCATTTGGCCTTTTAATAGCTAGTTCGAGTACAAAGTTTCGAGTACAATCTAGAAGACTAGAATAGAGAGCTTACACGCAAATGCTCATTATGGATAGAAATGGCAAGCTTGCGAAAATTCCAGCAGTATAAAACTATTAGTTGTCCCTGCCAAGGTTGTACTAAAGCAACGACAAGTAATATGGATCAGAGGGAGTACCAAATTTAATGGTGCAGCGAGCGAGCTAGCTCGAACCACAACACAACATGTACCCTTTTAGCTCAAATACAGAATGTTCGCCTTCTGGCTAGTTCTATAAATCCGCAATTCCTTCTTAGATATTTCTTACCTTAACTTGATCAGAAAAGCAAATATATTCCTTAAATAGGATTACATGAATGCTCAATGTTACATGAATTTATTTTGCTGGTAATATTCACAAAATATTACCCTTCAAGCCATCATATTTACAGTGAACCAACCTATGTTTGAATGGTTATAAGGGCAGTGATATCCTCAGCCCACCAGGATTCCAGTCCTAGACTTGACATTGATGCTCGCATTATTCCTGAATGTATTCCAGCCTTTCGGTCGGCTAAGTCTCTCAAAGGTGCTCATAGAGATAGAGTGTGAATGCGTGCATTTATATGGGTCAGTCTATACTCGTGTATGTGAGCGATTTCGATTGTACTGTGTTCATAAAGTCATCACATTTACATTACTTATTCGTGTTGTCTTTGACTGCATATTAATCAGAATTGGTCTGCCTACGATTGAACCGTGTGCGATGTATCACACAGAACTGTTTTCTAGCGTGTGCGATAGGGTGGCTTAATAGCACCATTCTACACTAGTGGATTTTGTGTACAAAGATGTAACACAACTACACATGTCTTATATTTTGTTCCTCTCTACAACGCGCACACTTGATATATGGTATTGTAACTGTAGTTGACAGAAACACCATTTATGTCACTATCCTAGTTCTTTTGCTAACTTTGTGGTTTAACAACATCACTCCTATATTTAATGTAGGAAAAAATGTGCATAGGTATTTTGGATCTTCCATAATTGTCGGCTTATTACCCGACAATGTGCTCCACTAAGAACTATTCTAAAAGTAAAATGATATTACTTCAATTTATCACAAGTGATCTTTTATAAAACTAAATATTTCTGTGTGTAATGGCAGATTTTGAGACAACAAATGGTTAAATTTATACATGGTAAGTTGTTGCCGGAGCAATGCGCGGCCACTGTGCTATTTTGTTAAAAGCCAAATCATGCATTACCTTAGTGTTGACTACAGTCAATATATATGTTTGTTAGAACAGAATGTAACTCAAAAAATTGCTCTACGAGAGATCGACATGCTAAAATGTGGAAACACAAGGCTCATGACATGCTCCGCCCACTCAATCAAGTATATCACCTAAAATTTAGTTGGCTCTTTGCGCACAGCCGAACGTTGGGGCCGCGACAAGGCATGCAATCGAGTTTCACTAGCCCGAGTTCATGCAAGAGGCGCATCGCTGATCTTACCCCATTCTGCCGGAGCGCCTCACGTGCTCGTGTTGGTCTTTGGGTCGAGTTGGGCCTAAGGATGACCACACAAGCACGACTCATAGGATTACAGGACTAAGGACTTGGCGCATTTTTGGAATATTGATGTGTTTATTACCAAATTGCACACATATATATATCGAAGACTCCTTAATCAAACACATAGCAACGGTTGCACACTTTCGTAAAGAAACATATAGTTGGACGGTGACAAATAATGTCTTGTCACAAATGAAGCTACACATTCTCCCTAAATCGAACTAAGAACTAGCACTCTCTTCTAAAAATGATGCTAACGGATCTTGACATACGGCATCTTCAGCTTCCGCACATGCATCTTGTTTCTGTAATGCTGCTATTACGTACGAGGACGATGGCTCTGCAAAGAGCAAATCAAGAGAAGTTAAAGTAGAATACGTAAATAAGTATACCTCACCCTAAAATAAAAAAGTATACCTAGTTGATTCAGCCATGCATGAATAAATGGGCACAAAAAATTGGTTCAATTTTATCAGGAAATAAACTGGTTACCTGACTTGCCCGATTATGGAGCAGCTTTAGGGGTAGGTGCGGCCCTCATCGGTGGCACGGGTCCTGCACTCAGATACATCAAAAAGATTCACACTAAAGACAATAAGAAATGCGCAAATGAAAGTTTACATATGGTACCGGGAGAGGAGATCAACAAGTTACCTTCACAAGAACCAAATTCACCGGGGCTCGAGTCGCAGATGATCATCGTCCGAATGAATTTCTCTCTATCCACGGTCGCAGACATGAGCTTGTCGAGGTCGGTGCCCTCCAGTATGCGGCAGAGGCAGATGGGAGCGTCTTGGACGAGCGACCTGAGGCCGTCGCAGCACTTGCCCTGCTTCGGAGGCTCCGGCGCGGCGCTGTTGGTGAGGAAATCCTTGCATGGCATCAGCCCCATCAGCGGCGTCCGGCACTCCTTCGGCTGAGGCTTCGATGTGGGCGGGGGCGGCGGTGCCGGCGCCGGTGGTGGCGGCGTCGGTGGACAGAATATGGGTGGTATACACAATATCTGTGGTATAAACGAAAAGCAGGGGATGATGCACCATGACCATGATGATGGTTTCGCTACTAAGTCGCCGTTGGGGGAGGGAGCGGGGGCCCTGGCCGTGACGGCCGCCGAAAGCGAAGGCTCGGGCGCGGCGGCGGCAGTCAGGACGGCGACGGCGAGGAAGAAGCAGGCGAGATGGGACTTGGATGCCGCCATGGGTCGGTCTCTTTCTTGGTTTGTGCTTGCTGGCCAGATGTGAATGGTGCGACGAACGTCTTATGGTTGGTGATCAGTGAATGTATATATAGGGTGGATGCACGTGAAATGCTCCATGTGATGCGTTGGGATAAGGAGATAAGAGATGTTTTCTGTTGGGGCCGATCCATATCGTGTTTCCTTGATCTTCTCACGTACCTTTCGATGGTTTGTTAGGCGGGAGTGTTAGTGCGTGATTATGTTATTTTAGTTAGTGCGTGAGTACTTAGTTCGTTAGTATCTTATATAAACTTTCAACCGGTGATTATGTTAGTTTAGTTAGTGTGTGTAGTCCAGTTGAACCCATGTAACATCGGGTCGGACAGTCCATCGACGGCGCGGTCGGTGCCATGGACGGCTGGCCAAGTTCAACAGCGCAGAACCAGCATAGGCAAAACTCTTCAGGGCTTGGTCTCTTTCAGCATTCTAACGACAGTAAAAATAAAAGCAGCAAACTGCAAGCACTTCTATGCTCTAGCATAAAACTGCAAAGCTTGGAGAGATTAGAGAATGCAAAAGTTGAACCAATTACCCAAAGGTAACTTTGAACAATATGCGGCATAACACTGCAAGCACTTGAAATGGTTAAACAAGGAAACATCTGCGTTTGTACCACATTTCTAAGAAAAGGATGAAACAGTTGCACAAGGCACGGGGATCCCCTGACGTGAGTGATCCTGCCTCTGAGTCACTGACATGTGGGTCCCACCAAGCATGAGGCCTACCTGTCAGAGACTGAAATGCAGGAATAGCTACGTCAAATGGTCCATATCCCAAGGCAAAAACCTAAGATGACGCAAGCATAAATTGAAATCCTCTAGACTGAAATTATGTCTGCTTATCATTCAAACTAGGTAATCTTTTGTCCACGGGCCACTAGTTGGGCTAGGACTAGAGTAGTGGCCCATGAAAGGGGGATTCCCTCCATTATATGAAAGTTTTTCTTCTTGGCTTGAGTTTCTTTGTTGCTTTGCCCCTGTCTTTGCCTTAATGTTTAATTTGCTCTTCTTTCTTTGACTTGTTGGCCATGAAGACTTTTGGATGATTGTTGACCAGGGTGACTTGCTTGGACCCATGGTAGCTTGCTTGGACTTTTGCTGACCTCCTTGACTTGTGTTGACTGCCTTTGAATTTTGTTGACCGTTGGTCCATGTGGATTGCCATGTAGAACTCAGAAGGAACCCTATAATTTTGGCTATTCTCAACACTACCCCCAAGGACATATGAATCACATATTTGGTTAGGCTTGAATTCGAACTTGCAACTTTTATTGATGATATGAGAAAAGATGAGAGATTTTGATGTCTACGCATATGAGTGAGCTGTCTGTTATGTTCACAAAAAGGCCTGGTCTTCATCATTTGGTCTACTTTCTTACCAAATTGGTACCAATGTTACCACTGGCAACAGGTAGTTTCAGCAATGAGTCCAGTAATAAATAAGTTGGATGACGATCTGATGAACCATTGCTCGGTTACAATTATCGAGCGACACGTATTCTTGAAAGTAAGTGAACATGGCATAGTTAAAGCTTTCATGGAAAGGATACTTAACCTTATGTCGTAGTTTTCTACTTATGTGCATCTTGCATGTAAGACTATTTCTATTTCTGATTACAAATTTGGAATATATTTAATGAACTAAAATGGTGTGCGACATGATTGGGATATTTATGTGCTTTTGTTAAATATGGTATGACACTTGGATTAGGTAGATTATAATTGGAGTGTGCACACCCTCCATTTCCCCACCACTGCTTTGTAGTGTGTGAGAGAGTGTATGTTGGTACCTAGGTCAGTTGGTGGATCCCTATCTTTGGATATTGTAGGTTTCTCTATTTAACTAGGTGGCACTCGTCCTAACCAATGGGCCGAAGTAAGCTGATAATGAGTTTGAAAAAAAATCTATGAAATGAAATGGTTGGAATTTAAACCAATTCTATTATTAGTGAATATTGATGGAGCAACTGATACGTATCCATATAAAAACAGGCGAATCATTAGACAACCATTCATTCGATAAAATCTAGTCCATTATTAATGAAATTTCATGAATCAATCAGTATCTCCTTATCTAAAAAAACAGGAATGATTGTAAATCGAGTAACTATTAAAGAACATTGATGGAATAATTGATGTATATCCTTATCCAAAGAAAGATAAGATCATTCAATAAATGTTGAGCAAACATCTACAAGAAACGTTCTAAAGCTTTACATCCAAGAACTTACCTCTACTCTATATGTATATATAGCACTGCCCAGATCAGAGAAAAGTGTAAGGAACCACACAATTTTAAGTTTTGTTGAAGGAAGACAGTTTCTTGTACCAATGGGTCGTGGTCAGGGTCATGTTATCATACCAATATTTCTCTTCTTTTCATTTGCACCTTACTACATCACTTTGGCCGAATCGATAGATCTAGGTGGCACTCTACAAACAAATGAGAAGGTATGCATTTAGCTTGTCAACACATATAACCCTTTCTAATATTTCTTATGTATCCACCACGTTCTTGTACCTACATGACCACTTGATCATGACAAGTACCAATATTTGTATTCTGCTGTTATTATTCATTGTTAGTTATGTGGCCCATTAGACATTAGAACAACATATGTGCAAGGAAATAACTATGTTTTATGGACTTGGTACAACAATCGTCCTAACTTTCCAGATAAAACTTTTTTCTAGGATGGTACTCTTTCAAGATCCAATCCTTTTCAGCTCAAAGGGAGAATGAAAACCGATGGAAAAGGCAACACTAAATCTCATGTATGACCCTCCCTCCCTCCCTCCCTCCCTCCGTGTTAGATTTTCGTAACAGGAGGAAATATTTGGTCAATTTAAATTACATAGATATGTTTCTCTTTAGCGCAATATACAAAATTAATGCACCACACCCAATGGATTCAGAAATAGATCTTTTTTCGCACATTAAGTAAGAAACAGATCTGGTTTGACAAAGGATGCAATATAGGAGTATAAAATCAATGCACCACACTCAATGGATTCAGAAACAGATCTGGTTTGACAAAGAACGCAATATACAAAATTAATGCACCACACCCAATGTATTTAGATACAGACCTAGAAAAATAATGCAATATATAAAAAAATTAATACACCACACCCAATGGATTCAGAAACAGATGTAGTTCCATGCATGATCTATGTAATACTAATCCTGATGTTCAAACACTTAGCTTGGAGTGCACATCGCACTTCCTTACCAAGAAGATCCATGTATGCATGCACTATGTAATACTAATCCCGATGTGCCAACACCAAGCTAGGAGTTAACCGATGCACCAATTTCCCGTGCTACATTGGCATGACCCATACACCTTGTAGAGAAGGTAAGTTCGAGCCAAACCTACTTAGTTAAGGCATAGGAAAATCTTGATAGCATCTAAAGGATCACCTAAAAACACCACGTCATAAGTTCTAGGAAGAAGAGCGTCCTACCACTGCCAAGAAGCTACCCAAAAATTGTAATATGCTTGTGCACAAGTACAATTTTTTTCTGACTATTCACTAATTTGAGCTACATCTTTATATAAATAGTATGCAATGTGGCACACGGAGCCAGGAAAATTCTATGGTCTTCGAGCTGAAATGAGTATATGGGTTCACCTAATCAAGAAAACTCTCAAGAATCCGGATCAGCCATACAGATCTACTGTCAAGAAGGGGAACACTACAGCTTAATTGAAGCTGGGTTTCATGTACATACATATCACCCATTCTCACAAACTCAAATGCTTTTCAAGAAGTGCTATTTAAATTATGGGTTGGCTTGCAGGTTTCCCCCTCTTTGTATCATAACCGAGACGTTCGATTCTTTACATACACGACGGTAAGTGTATACCATGCCATTCTGATAAAGTACATAATGTTGAGGTGTCACTAAACTTATCCTTTTTTTTCCTCATTGGACTCATTTATACTAATTATAGCTATGTATACATTAACATTAATACATGTCGCCTTGTATCATTTCTCAGAGGGACACCAAATCTGCAGGCTGCTATAACTTGCAGTGCCCAGGATTTGTCCCTAC